AAGACATGGAGGAGCGCATGTTTGGATACTTGAAGATGAGTGGTTCCTCTTTTGCGTAAATGCAAACTAGGTGCTCCGAAATGGAAAGTGGACTCTGGTTTTTGGCGTCATTTTGTATGCCATTAAGCATACCTAAAAACATGATTGATTACTCAATTACTATTTATGCTATCCTAGTCTGCTCGTTATTGTAGCCATTTTCACCGGTGTGCGTAATTCTAACCTCTGTGCTATCAATGTGCATTTTTATCATTTTTTTGGTCTTTATAGTTTTTTTGAGTGGGTTTAGTTGGAACTTTTTATGATGTCTTCTTTTTTATCTTTCGCTTTTTTGGGAAACCAATGCGTTATTTGTCCCTCTTTTAGTCCTTATTCAGCCCTTCGTAACTGGACTGAACTCTTGATATCTCTCTTTTTTTAAATATTAGATTTTTAAACCGTTTGGTTTGAAGAAGACCACTGGTGAGACACAATTCGATCAATTTATCGTTTCCGGCCTCTAGCCTTTGTAACCTTTTTATCTTGTTTTTAAAATTCGCCTATGCATAGACTCAAATTTTCCAATAATGATTGGATTATTTGTATGATGGTTTTGAAGTAGGTTGAAGCGTTTTGCTTTACTAAGCTTTGACGTTATTTTAAATTGTATTTTGTATAAATTAATTTAGTGGATACACATGAACAGTTACATCCATTTGATGACTCGCGCCTCTGACATTTATGTACTGCGTGGTCTCCACATTTTTCAATGCCCTCGCGTGGTACGCCACACTCTTTGCCCTCCCTTCGAAACCTTAACGCACACGTACACGTATATGACAATCTCTTTCCCATTGGCCAACCTCCATGAGCCTAAATTACCTCTATTTTCCCCTCCCCCCTCCTTCCTCCATCTCGGTGCTGGCTTTCCGACCCACATCCATTATCTATCTGGATGGTAGCAATCAGCAACAGTTTACGCAATGGGATGGTGACAGTCCATTGGACAGAGCTCGGTGTTCACTAAATGCACTCGCTCGTGCGCACGTGCGCACAAATAGCTGAGATATTGGCCATTTCAATGGCATTCCCAGCCATAGACAAAACATCACGGCGGGGCTATAAAAGCCACCTGCGCCCACCTATTTCCATGTTGCCTTCCGCTACCAGGAGTGCGAGTAGTACGAACAGCACTAACAATACTATCAGCATGACATGGCTGGATCGATTGTATAACGACAGTCCATTTTATGAACCTCTCGAAAATGACAAGCACGAAACTTCCCAGCTCCTCGTCCTTGTGTTCCGCGCCTACTTTTCCCCTATTATTTTCATTCATGGAGTCTGTGGAAATTTACTCTCTCTTGTTATCCTCTGCCGTCTTCACAGACGTGCACCAGGTCGCTTCAACCTCTATGCCATCACTATCACAGTGTCGTTTCTCCTCCTCCTCATTTTTGATACATTCCTGGACGACTTTTTTGGTCGAGGTCTCGGCTGGCTTACAAAGTACCAATTCAATCTCAAAATGGATCAGATTTCCTCCCTTTCCTGCAAACTAATCACCTATGTAACTGACAGCAGTGGATTCATGGCTACTACCATTTTGGCTATTTTTGGACTGGATCGGGTGCGCACCATCTACTCACCCCTCCAATTCCGTGGCGATCGGTACCTCCGACGTACCACCATCCTCATTGTTGCTACCGTTGTGATAGACTTGGTGCTCTTCTCACCAACCTTCGTTTTTTATGACATTGTCGTTTCTAACGTTACTAATCAAACGTCCTGCACTCTTACAAATCCTAGCCTTCCTGGTGCTACATACACTCTCCTAATCTACGTCCTTGGATCCTATACTCTTCCCACTCTCGTGATCATTATCTGCAACATCTTGATCGCCTACCAACTTGTAGCCATTAAGAGGAAACATCGAAAGTGTGGAATTGATGTCTCTAGTCGAAGGGACGTTCGTCGCATCATTGGTCATTTGGGAATCAATACTGCCTTTCTACTCCTTATGATTCCATTAGTGGTTGTTGTTCTCATGCGTTATGAATCTTCTGTTTGTTCCTCGCGTCACTCCGAGGCCTACCGGCAGCGCTTAATCCATCTCTCCCGATTCTTCAGTTCTCTTCTTTCGATTTATTTCTCGAGTAGTTTCTGGGTGCTGTTCCTTTTTCTCCCCACCTTCCGAGATGCGGTGCTGGAACTGCTTCTTGCTTGTCCATCAATAGCTACTTCAGTGTGTGGACCCTGCCTCTACCGCCATATGACGTATGGGGGTGCGCGGCGCTTCCGCACCAAATCATTGACGCCCTCAGTAATGTTTCTTTCCCATCTGCCACCATCGACGATGGACGCTCACAAGGAGGACTTTCAAACCCGCGGAAGTCTTCCATCCGTTGGTCTAGCCGTCCTAGTCAAACCCATCCGCTCGATCTCTACGCCCAGTATTGTGCACCTTAAGACTTGAGACACCTCTCGTTTTGACTTTTTTACTTTTATACACTTGGGTGCAGTCTTTTTTAAATAATAATTTACAATGCCCACTATCTTGACTTCAGAGAGGTAGATGGTGGAGAAGATACACCAGCATTTGTGAATACGTTTTTGTTCCCTCATCTTTCTTTATGTGAAAGGTTTTTTCTTTCTAACTTACAAGGGGTATTGAGGGTCCAGTTTAAATTTCTTGCCCGAAAATCTGCCTAATTCTTTTTCCTAATTTCGCGAGTCATCATCGGTTATGTAAACCGAGGTTCTATTTTCATGTGGAATTCATTGAAATTTCTGCCCTTTTTTTGATTTCCTGTAGCACCTTAAGGGCACCCTCCATTGCCCCTCCCTTTTCACCAATTCAACATTTTTAATTATCTCTACTGGCGGTGCTATTTGACTGTTTCGTTTTGGAGACTGACGCTGAAATGCCAATAGGTTTTACTCTTTGAAACATTGCTCGTCTGTATATTTCTTCCAATTTTTTTCGTCGCGCCGTTTCTTACTGCTTCCTCTGAGCGATTTTTTAGAGCCATCACACATGTGACTATCTTTGCTCCATTTAAGAATGGTAGCATTGCATTTCCGTATCCACTTTTGCGGAAACAACTTCAGACTTTTTTAGCTCTATGGTTTATCACATTGATACAAGATTTTGTTTTCTGCTGTTGGAGCCACAAGCAATGGCTGTCACTTTTCCGCTAATTGACAAAGCAACTTCAAGATATTCGACTTTTTTGTTGTCGACTCAACTCAGATTATCAGACAGTTTTTGAGCAGTCGCTAGTCACTTTTGCCATAGTTTTGTTTCATACAGTTTTGGAGACGACTGCATGACAGAAACTTATCATCCTCCTCACTATCATCATTAAGACCGAGTGATCTAGCTTTATATTGCGATTCTAATTGCACACACGTGTTCTCAATCATTTCGATTGCTGTTCGAGCATTGAATGAAATGAAATTCGGCATGAGTTGGAAGAGCTAATCGCTATGACTTCGAAGGGAATAATGGCAAATTCAGGAATGATAATTGAGATTTTGGATGTGTGGCCTACTAGCCAATGTGCTTATTTGACTTCGATATCAGGAGTCTCAGATTTACACTGCCTTTCTTGTTCTCGGCAAGGTGGCGATTTCGACTACGGTGTTATCGTTTATAGCTTTAAGCGTAAAGGATTTCATCGTGTCAAGCTCTACGTTGTGGCGCGGTATATGGTCTTGAATCACTGTTAATCTCGTAACGCCGATTTTCTTCAACTGAAATGTTGGGTCATTTTGGGCTTATCATCATCGTTTGACCTAGGTTTTTGGTCAGACCTATGGAAATTCACTTCTAAGTACGATTCCACTGTCCGACGCTTTTTTTGAGCTCACAGAAATTGTTTATTGTAGTAATCTATAGGGCAATTTGTCTATTACAATCCAGATGTTTACAAACGTGCCTGGTTATAGTGTGACAACTGGCCATTGCCTTTCTCTCAACTCTATGCTAGCTATTTGTTTCGTACTTTTCCACATCAAGCTCAGCGTGGCTATTATCAAATGATTTTACTGACAGCGACTGTTTGCTAGACTTCTCACTATCCTGCAAGGAGAGAAGATTCCGTCTGTTTAACTTCATGAAACGGCCATTTTGAGAGGTAAATTTTCTCCGTTGTTAATATGGGCGTGCTGATATTTTACCATAGCTGGTTTAGGCGGCACATAGATGTGTTGGTATAGTTTTATTTGAAAGTGCTTTTTTAAATGAGGAAGAATGAATGGTGTTGATCTCGGTCAGCGATTCCCAACCAATCAAATTATGCTACTTCGTCAAACAGTGCATACTCTCTTCCCTCCTCCTACCATATTGCCAAAACTCTCCATCACCGTTAGTTTCTTAATTTTGGCACCGCGTAACCTTGACTGTACTTAAATAATTTGCTAGAACTGTTGAATTACGAGACTGGAAAAAGTCAAACATACGACTACAAACTACCAGCTTGAAAACTGTATCAAGCGAGAACAAGGCCTACAAAGCCCTTTTTGATTAATAGGGATCTTCGAATAAGGAATTTGCTCACTCGCTTCCTAATCCCTTACTTCTTTGATAAGTTCACGAATCCATTAGATCTTAAATTTTGCCAAAAAAACTGCTTTGAAGTTTATCCGTCCTCAGACCAAAAAATGCTCCCAATCCTTGGGAAGCTGGGCTCAAGTGTGAAAATTGGAGTGTCGCAGATCTATGAATCACAAATCATGACACAAATCATTTTTACGTCATCACTGGTGTGTGCTGTTGGTATGGATGGATAGAGTTGC